TTTCTCTTTCGTGGACTCAGCTGAGAGTGTGATTGAAGCCTGCACTGTGGGCCCATTCCTGGAAGATCACCAATTTACGATACAGGTTTGTAAGTTTTCTCAGGGCCAATCACCGATTGCTGTAATGCACGGCAATGTTTAAGCAGCCCCTTCACACAATTGTGTCCGGTCGTACTGTGCCGAATAAACACTCCGTACAAGACGCCCAAAGCCAGGAGCGAATTTTAACGCGCGGATGCGCGCGTGCGATTCGCAAAATGCGCGTGTACAAGTGTATATAAATTTTCTTGGCGAAAAAGGACGAGGTGCGCCAGCGCGTTGCGCAGGTGGGCATGTTGGCCACAGCCGCACGCGGCATGCAGGCCGGAAATGTGGGTGGCTCCTTTGCCGTAATTGAAAGAACTGAAATCATACAACTTAGCTTGCAAGGCTGGGCTCATGACACGGCCGCGGGAAGAGGCAAGCAAACGGTCGCGTTTTTGGTAGCGCAACGTATACAGCACCTTGTTCAGAGTAAAGTCAAATTACAAAGTTGCGCAAAGTATAACATACATAAACTTAATTAAACATAAGAACAGATAAGACGTTTAGAGCCTTGTCGGTGACATGGACGCCGCTGTTGGCTTTGAACAGCTATTTGCTGTGCATAGGGACGTGCCCGCGTTAGCCGTGTTGCAACAGCTCAGGATGGATTTCAGCCAGCAACAGCCTCAAGAGCTGCTGCACAACCACCGGGAATGTCTTCAGTTGGGCACGTGTAGTTTTGGTCGGCGGGGTCGAGCATCGTACGCATTGCGCACAGAAACCAAGGTGCAGCGTCTCTGTAACATCGCCAACATATCCAGTACGCGGTGGCAGGCTTACCGAGCACGAAATGAAGGGGGGTCGCATCTCACCATTCAACTAAGCATGCATGTGCTCGGTTGAATGCTCGGTAGCGTGCGAGTTTACCTATCAGGATGTTTGTTTGCATATATCCCTCCAAGCGAGAGGGCTTGGACCTATGCTGATGTTCGTTACAAGAAGTGAACTGAGGACTGATGCTACACGTCATGTATACGCGTTGCTTAGCTTGCAATGAGACGCGCCCACCAGAGGGTTGCAAAAACGGTCTAATCCCCCAATCCCGGGGGGTGGTAGTGGTCAGCCATCCCCCCATCCTGGCTGGGGTGACCGACTCCCATCTCCCATCTTAGGGGCCCGGTGCTAATCCCATCCCTTGAGA